CCCCAAAACCCCAAAACCCCAAAACCCCAAAACCCCAAAACCCCAAAACCCCAAAACCCCATAGTGAGGTAGCAAGATTGAAATTCTCGAAACTCATGATTCAAAAAGCCATTTCATGTGAAAATGATTATAAATTTATTATTAAACTTTAACAATGCTCATAAATTTTGAAATAAATTAGATGCGGGAAAAGCAAGCCTGAGGCATAGCCTCAGGCTTAACTTCCATCATTCACTTTCTTTAAGAATTCCTTCATTTTTAAATTATATTGATATACTCGTTTGTTATTCATATTGTATTTCTCACTGATGTTCTCTATCCATTTTACATACAGCTCTTTTAATTTCGTAAATTTTTTAATTTTATCAGGATTATTTAGCTGTGGATTAGGGTAATAAACTTACCTGCAAGACATTTAAAGCTAAAGCTAACTGTGACTCATAAAGATGCGATAGAAATTTCAGAGAAATGGCAGCATCAGAAGTCTGGCAGGAGAGGACTGAGGTTGCTGATGGAATTTATTCACTCTTTGATCTCATCGTTGATTTCCTTTATCATTGCTGTTTGTTCACGCTTGCGTATTCCTTTGATGCTTTTATTAAATGCTTCCGTCATCATACACTTTTTGTCCTCAAAAATTGAGGAGACTTGAGAAGTCTCTGTCTCTGAGACTCTCTCCTCAGGTTGGGGGAGGATCAATCAATAATGGTCGATAAAATGTTTTAGTGAAACAGGATTAATTTTAAAATCGATCATCAACAAAATGGAAATCTGCTGATCAAATATGTACTTAAACAAAGCTTTAATAGTCTTTTTCTCAGTCGGCTTATCATCTTTATCCTTCATTATCAATATTGGGGTGAGTCTGTAAAGTGTCAGAGACAAATAGAATGAGACTAACTTACCCTTCAAGCTCGAAAAATTCGAGTATTTCTTTGGTATAAGGAGTTTCTTTTTCATGCTCTCAAAACTTAATGCTAATAATTATATTCATGCGATTCACTTGAAAAAGGAGATATATCTATTCATCTTATCAGTCCCATCGCTCAGCTGGGAGAAATCAAACAATTTCTCAAGTGTGATTGGATCATATGGAACTTTCTGGTTGCTCATCATCTGGAAGTCATTCAACATAACAGAGGTATAGAAAGTCTCATCTCCGAGCTCAAAGGTATCTCAGATCTTCTTTATTTTACAAATAAGGTTCTCTCGATCCTCATAATCTAGGTCTTTTAGGTTAATGAGAGGGACGATTCTTCTTTTAAATTTCCTATAAGAAGATGAGCCTCTAAATTAAGATAGTTTGGAGAATTAAAACTTACTTTTCAGCAGCTCTCAGATCCTTAAAATCCTCATCAAACTCACAAATTTGCTCATTAGTGTTGTAAGTCTTGAACATGAAAGGCATGTCTGAAATCTTTGTTGGAGAATAGACCCCTTGTGTCTGGAGATGCCCATTTACAAATCTGTTCTTTAACCGCTTACTCAGCTTGCTCATTATTGAAGAGTTCGGAGATACCATAGTTCGTTTATCCGCATCAGAGTCTTTAGTCATCATTGATTCCTTAAAATTCTTTATTATTTGCTGCCCCAAAGGAATTTCTATAAATATATTAAGCCACAAATTTTAGAGGATATGTTTAAGTCTCCAAAAATGTTGTATGACCAAGTTGAAGGCTGCTGAAGTTGAAGTATCTCCATAACTAGTTCAATACTTCTTTGAGGTACTTCAGAATACTAATAACTTTCCAAATTTTCTAAAAGCTCTTACTTTTATTACGAGGTTCATCATATTCAATGTTCCTTAAAATTAGCTTATTCGCATGCCCACGGTGTCTCTTCTTCTGAGTCTCTGCAGCTTTGGAACTTTCGTGAGGAGAAGTAGGGCCCATCCTGGTCGGGCCAAGACTCAATGCCTTCGTATGGCTAGCAAATACTTCATTACGAGAGCTTTTCTTGTCATTAGGAATGAAGATAAGAATTATTATTAATCTTCGGTCCATGATAGGCACCTACTTTCATATTTTTATCATCAGAGTTGTTCCTTTGACGGTTATTTTAGTAGCTTTTGGAGTGAATTAGGATCAAATTTTTTAGCTCCCTTTGCCGAGAATAGCCGGTTCTTCTGATCTCCAGCTCCATCTGACATAACAGTATAATTGATGTGAGGAGTCTTTTTAAAATTAAATGACGAAGCGGGATTATCCAAATAGAAAATTTAACTTTTGCAGAGTTTATTGAATCATAGACAGAAGTTTGAATTTTATAGCAAAGATTTCTGAACTTTAAATAGAAAGTTTAAAGGATATTCTTATTATTTACTTACAATTTCTGCTCTTGGGCTCAGAGATTTCATTCTATCCCCTCTAATCTTGTTCAAATTCTCCATAATTTTTCTATTTTGCGAACTTTTTATTAACATTTGTAGTGTTCTTCGGTGGGTAGTTCTTAAGCTGTCTGCTCGCTCGCCTAGTAGCAGATAGAGGCCCATTCAGATTTAGCATGCTTATAATTACAATAAATATTAATTATTTTTGCCTCCTGGGGTTTTGGGGTTTTGGGGTTTTGGGGTTTTGGGG